CATGCCTTGCTGCCTTTGGCTCAGCAGTGCTGAAGCAAATGGAAAATGAACTTTTCCCAGGCACAGGTGTAAGTGGCTCAGGTGGACCTTTTCTCCATGCAGCACCCTGAGCTGCCACAAGCCAGAGCTGCTTGCTGGTGCTGGGATGTCACAGTTGATTCATTACATTCTTAAACCCAGCTGCTGCAGTGTAAGCACTTCAGCAACCACGGTACAAAGGCTGTGAAATGACTGCACCCCGGATCTCTCCCAAGAGCCTGTAGGTGTTGTGCTGCCAGTGCTCAGGCTCTGCTGCTTTGCCTGGTACTTTGGGTGCTGTTAAGAGCCAGGACAGCCCCCAGCTCTGCCATTAAACAATCGTGTGGCACATTTCAAGCACAAAGTCAGGCTGCCAATGAGACTGGCTGCTGCAGAGGAGTGATCTGTCATCACCAACCCCTCCCCTTCCATCAGGGGCGCAGATTCTCATTGTGCTTCCACTCGTTTCCCTATTTTCACTCTAGGGAGAGGAGCTGCCAACATAGCCCAATCCTGTATCTTTTGCCCAGCGATGGCTTAGGAAAGGGGTAAAAGAAGGTATAGCCAGAGAAATCCTTTCCCTTTGAAACACCTTCCCTTAAAAAAATCTTCCCTTAAAAAGTGTTTTAAGCCCGGCAATTGTATCCAGCCCACTGTGTTCATAACCACCCTCCCTGAACAAATTTCACGGTGTCTGATCCCGACCGTACCCCAAAACTCCGCGATGTCCTGATCCCTGCCAGCGTGAACAGGACCTCAAAGGCCGGGGTGCTGCCGGTACGTGCTGAGCACCCCCCCGGGAACCGGGAGCGGCTTCCCAGGGCTTTCCACTGGAGGTCAGTGTTGGCCTGAGCACGCTGGCTGTCACTCGGGCCACCTCGCCCCTGCCACCCGTGGAGTGAAGCGGCGGAGGGCAGCGCAGCGTTGCTCTTGCCCCGTACAAACACAGCGGCTCCATCGCCTGCTCCTGTCCTCATAGGAATTTTGCTAATGTAAAGGATCTAAACATAACATAGCAGCACTGGTGATCGACCCCCGACACCCTGAGATGTAGCTCAGAGCTTGGGCAGCGCTGACTCCCAGATGCTAATTTGTTAAAAACTCATTATCACCCGGCAAGGCCAATCTCAGCCTGTCCCACTGCACCCACTGCCCAACTCTCCATCACTGTCTGACTTTACTAACTCAGTCTCGACCTCCAAGAAATACCACTGAACGTCTTCAGGCTGTGTGTTTGCAAAGGGCAAAGTATTGCATAGAATAACAGCAAGTTATAGTAAAACATTTCAAGCACTGAGACTGTCAGTGAACAGCTGGCAGCACCCAGAAAAAACCCAACACTACCAGAGGGACTGATAAGTTCTTCAGGAAATGTGTTTCAACTAAAATTTCAGCTAGTGCTTTGTTTGTTTGTAACAGGGTGGAAAACACTATTTATAGTTTAGGAATATAATCTGGAAAGAACATTTATTGCTGCTTGTTTGAACCTGTTGGAAGCAGCAGGAAGGTAGTACAAGCATGAAACATGCAGAATGCTGTTGCACGCAGACAGACACGGCAGCTCAGTCAGTCCTCCCTGCATAGCCAAAGTTTCCCAGTGAAAAACAAACGTATTTTTAAAGTGGTAGCTCGTTTTGGCTGTGTGTTTCTGAACGTGCAGCCTGAGTTATCTGAAACCAGCCTGGTTTGCAAAGAGTTATTCCCTGAGAAGTCAGAGAAGATATCCCAGATCACCACTAAATCTCTTTGGTGCTCAGGCTCAATTCCGCCTCCGCCATCAGCATCTCACAGGCTCGGGAAATGGCTCTCCCCACCACGGGGAAGTCCAGAGTACTTCTTGCCATCACCCTGAGGTACGACATTCTTTCCACAATCCCAGAGAGCACAGAAAGTTTTGCCTCTGTCTTTTGTGTGAGCTCGAGATTGTTGCAACTGTCATTACATAATAGTCCCTAAACTCCCTAAATAAAGAGAGGAGGATTTCAAAGGAGACTTGGTTTCACAGCTGAAATCTGAGTGATAATTACTCCTGTTTCATTTAAATCCCTCTTATTCACTAAACAGGGACATCGAAAAGACACTAAAACTGATGAAGAGCCCAGGTATAAATTTTGCAAAGCTTAAAACTACTCTGTCCCAGCAAGGCTCATGCTTTACATGACACCTTAATCCTACTCATTTGCTAGATTCACCCTAACTGTAAACAAAGCTTTGAAATGGAAGCTTAAAAGCCTCGTTGGGATACATTAACTTAACCAAGAAGACACTCTTAAGGCATTAGTTTAATGACAATCACAATACAAGTTGCCAGAGTTTTGTGCATGTGAGGATTAATATCTACAGGAAAGAGAAGAAAAGAGTTTGTTCCTCCTGTTTTCCAGCTGTTTGGCAGTGTAAGGCCCGCGGTGAGGGTGGTTTATTGATGCTTGCAGGGGGCTCTGTGCTGGGGCTGTCTGGCAGGCAGGGATATACCAGGGAAGATGTGCAACCCAGTGCTGCCCACCAGGGGTTGTCCCAGCACACCAGGATAGGGTCATCGCTCTCTCCAAGCCAGGTTTTGGGGGAGTCAGTCTCCAGTGGTAATTCATTTCACACCAGAGCTGCCTTGGCTGAAGAGATCCCTCTTGCACTCTCCCACAGGGGTGGGAAGGATTTCTTGCAGACACATCCCTAAATCTGGAGCTGGATGCCTCACTCCAGAAAGCCGCATAGCAGGGGGACAAAGGCAGCTGAGGGACAGGAGAAAGTCACAGCCCAGCCCCCTTCAGCCTAGCCCTCATGGCTCTGCCAGCACCTGAGTTAACACTCAGAGACACCAGGAACTTGGAAAGCCTTTTCCAACACCAGCTCCCAGCTGCTGCAAGTCTCCGAGGTGACTGGGGATTCAGCTTGGTCTGAGGTGTCATGGCTTGGCCAGGTCTTCCCAGGGCATCCCACCAAGGCAGAACCACAGCATCTCCTGCCCACCCCCTACAGCCAATATTGTTTTTATTTCATGTCAGTACCTGGTTCTGCCCTGCCTCAGCAGCCCTCCTGCTCAGGGTGCAAACCCAGTGGAGTCACAGCCCCATCAGCTGGCAGACCCAGTGCTTCTGCACATGTCTGGCTCTGACACCCTGGGTACTTAGGCAAGATTTCAAAAGTTCTTTTGTTAGCAAAACATTGTAGGATCGGGCCCTGGGAATGAATGTGAGCTATGACAAATGTCCTTTCTGCTGACTGTCCTTGCAAGTGATTATTTCAGCACCCCCCTCAGTGATCTCTGCAGGCAGTATGTCACAGGCAGGCGTGGGCACGTTGCAAGTTTCCATTAGACAGAAGATGTCTGCCTTCAGATATCGTGAGAGAAAAAGTATTTCAAGGGATAAGTTCTTTCACAATGCACTTCCTGAGCAGGGTTACTGCTGAGGGAAAAGCGCAGGAGCTGCTGCTGGGACCAGTGTGAAAGCTGAAAGGGTGAAGCTGGAAGGACCAGAGAGGAGGCTCAGCACTCAGCAACTCAGCTGAAGACAGCAGACCAGTTTTTGGAGACAGATGGAGGCCAAATTTTAAGGAAACCAAGAAGAAAAAAACATTTTCTTCCCTCCACTCTTGTACTAAACCCACTCTCCATTTCTGTGGAGCACGCAGAATGAAAGAATGAAAAGCCACAAGGTCCCAAGCTGCGGGCAAAAGCTGATTCCATGGGTACCTGCCAGCACGCCAGCTTTTGATCATGCCCAGCACTTGGGGAATGAGATGGTGTTTTACACCGAAGATCAGATGATTTCCAACTCCTTAGAGGGGAAAATGCAATAGCGACTACAGAAAACTGCTCTGCTTCACAAGACACCATTGAAAAAAAGACAGAAATCCTAGCTTGTCACTTTTACCCAAAGGATGTTTAAATTAAAAAAATAAATCTAAATCTTCGGGTGGGGAATTCTCTCTTCAAACCTTGTCAGGTGGTCTGACTGTGAATCTTGCAAATAAATAGCAGCAGCTCAGCCAGTGAAGAGGTTAGAATTTTAATTTATTTTGTTGCTAGGAAGAAAAACTGTGATCTCCTAATTTGATGGGCTAAATCAGAATTTCACCTGCAAGGGATTCCTTGGAGGGAAGATGCATTCTCCCTATATAAATAGAAACTATCAAGTCTGGTAAGAGCTGCATGGGCTACCCTTGTAGGAATTACCATTTGGTTTTAAGAAAATCACAATAAAATAGAGAGTTTTAAGAAGTGTCACTAAAATTGTAAGACGTAGCCGTGTCACAACAGCAGCACGAATCCATCTCCCACCAGTTACAAGACTATAATTTCCTCTTGCCAAGATCCATCCAGATCCAGAGGAACAGCAGCACTGGTCATATTGGAAGAAAAAGCTTTATTTTAAAAAAGTCCTTTCTAACAATAAAAGTAATTTTTAAAAATAGTAAAAAGAAGTAGTCAAGTTGAGGTTTCTTTTCCTACAGGGAAAGGAAATTATAAACATCTTAAATATTCATTTAAAATCCAGTGAACTTGTTTAGTGGTTTGGGGGGGGGGGGGGTTGATAACTTTCATTCCAGTTATGCGGGAGGCACTCAGGGAAGAGAGGAGAAAGCCCATTTGAGAGAGAGTTCCTGCATATTCCACCATGCACCCACCTCCTGAGTGTGCTCCTGCTCGCCCTGGGGGTGCCCCGGGGTGCCCTGCTGCAGGTGGCATCCCCGGGGCCAGGCTGGGCACAAGGGCAAGGGTGGGAAGCCCTGCCTGGCAGATGCAGCCAGAGAACACCTTTTCCGGGAAGGAACGGAGCAGATGAACAGATCACCGTGCCTCCTCTCCAGAATAAGCTGAGCGAGAGAGGAGCGGAGCCCTCGCACACGTGTGTGTCTGCACACAGCCGGGGGCCGGGGACCCCTGGCTCCATCCCAGCTGACCCCCACGGGAGGGAGAAGTCCGCTTGTCCAGAGGCGCTCGTGAGAGCCCGGAGATGTGCAGCCAGGCCCCGTCGGCCCCATCACATGTACCGCTCCAGGCCGGCGGGGAAGTTGGGCTGCCTCATGTAGGTGTTGCTGGAGCCGAACTGGCCGAGGGGTGAGGCGGAGAGCCCCAGCAGCTGCTCGCCGTGCTCGGCACAGGCCGGGGGCCGCATGGCCGGCAGGGCCAGTCTGTTGGGAGCCCCGTAGAGCTGCGGGCTGCTGGGCGAGTAGCTGCCCTGAGCCACGGGCAGGTGCGGGGGCGAGGCGGCGTAGGGGTACGCCAGGGAGTTGGGGCCGGCCCGGCCCAACAAGCCGGGGCTGACAGGCTGTGCCTGGAAGCAGGGAGGCTCGGAACTGCCGGCAGAGCAGGCAGGAGCCAGCTCGGCTCCGGGCAAGCCCAGCGATGGGTGGCCCAGCTCGGAGGGCGGCGAGGGTTGCAGGGCCTGCTGCCCGCTGATGAGGCTGTCGATGCTGAACATCCTGGGATGCTGTGCCGGCGGTGCTGCCCCGGCCGCGTAGGGGTGGAAAACGCTGCTGGAGAGCTGCGGGCCGTAGCCGGGCGAGCAGAGGGCATTGGGGTAGGGCGCTGTGGGTGCCGTGGGGCGCCCGGCGGGCGGGGGCGTGAAGGCGCTGGAGTTCTGCATGTAGCCGGGGTAGGTGGTGATGTCGGTGCGCTTGAAGCGCTTCCTCCGGCGCAGGAAGCTCCCGTTGTCGAACATGTCCTCTGCAGCCGGATCCAGTGTCCAGTAGTTGCCCTTGCCGGGATGTCCGGGCTCCCGGGGAATCTTAACGAAGCAGTCGTTGAGGGTGAGGTTGTGGCGGATGCTGTTCTGCCACTTCTTTGGGTTCTCCCGGTAGAAGGGGAAACGCTCCGTGATGAACTTGTAGATGCCCCCCAAGGTGAGCTTCCTCTCGGCGGCGTTGGCGATGGCCATGGCGATGAGGGCGATGTAGGAGTACGGGGGCTTGCCCCGCTGCACCGGCCGCTTCCTTCGGCGGCCCCCGGCGGGAGGCGGCGGCTCCTCGGGCGGCGGCGGCGGGGCCGGGCTGCTCCCAGAGCCCCGGGGCTCCGGCTTCACCGGCGGCGCCTGCGGAGACCCCCGCGCCGGCCCGGGGGAGCCGGGGCTGGCCGCGGCGGCGGGGCTGGGAGCCGGCAGAGTGCACATGCCTCGCAGGCAGGGGAAGCCGGCCGCGTTCATATACGGCCCTCGCCTTCCTCCTCCTCGGAGGATGGGGGGGAGCGGCGGGAGAAAGAGCCCCCCCGAGGGGAGGGGAAGGGGAGAGGGAGGGGAAGGGGAGGGGGGCAGGTTCGGCAGCAGCTCCCTGCGATGGGGAGGCCGGTCCCGAGCCGCTTGGCAATATATAGGGCTGTCGCCCCCCCGGAGGGGCGTGCGGTGCCGGCCCACCCGGCCCCTCTCCCCCGGCGGGAGGAGGAGGCCCCCGGGGAGGGGTCCCGGCTCCCACGGCTAAATCCCCCAGCCTCTCCTGGGGTTCCTTCCATAGCCATGCCCCCGAGCGGTCCCTCCCCCGGGGGTCCCGGGGCCAGCGCTGCGGCCGCCTCTCCTCCCGGCCCTTCTCCGCGGCGCTTCGCTTTGCTCGGAACTGCTGCTTCCTCCCCGGAGAAAAAACAAATAAAATGAATCCCGACGGCCAGCCTGGGGCGAGTTTGCTACTGCTGCCAGCCCCCAGCAGTAGAGCAGGTAACCTCCCTCCGCGACCCCTCCTGCGCTTGGATTTCGTTGTCTTCTTCCCGTGAAAAGCGCTCAGAGGTAGCCCCAACTCAGCGCTGGCAAGAGCCACGGGCTCTCTCCAGAACCAAGCCCCTCGGTTTAGTTACTTTGCAGCTCGGTGAGACCTCCTAGGTAAGGAAATCCTGGGAAAAGTGTGTTTTTTTTTATTTTCCCAGGAGAAAGGTAAATGGTTCACAGAGCTCAGAGCTGCCCAGAGTGTGGGCAAAGGATGCGGGACAGGGACGGCACTTTGGACAGGGCAAATAAGGGTCTCTTTATCACTGCAGAGAGTATAAAGCTGAAGGAAGACACCAGTCTCAGAATTCCCTACTGGGTTTCAGGAAAACCTCTTCAGTTCCCCAGAGCGAGTTGGCTGGGCAGAACTGCAGCCTTTCATCCTCGGTGTATCACTGCCAGGGCTGAGGGGCTGCTGGCTGCTTGAGCAGCACCAAAACAACTGTGAGCTTCCACACTGTGCTCACGCATTGCTCCTGAAAGCCACCTCTAAGCCAAATGCCTGGCCCAGAGCAGAGAAGGAAGCTGCTGCTTAAGGGTGGGCTGGAGAAGCTGGGGGGAACTTTTATAACCAGCTCACAGCTTTAGGCATAGCTCTGTGTCCGTGCCCTGGGGACACAGATGGAAAAGTACCATGACTACAGTGGCAGATCCCTTCATATGTCCCGCTGGAGTGAAACTTGAAGTCTTCAACTTTGCAACTTGTGTGAAAGTATTTCCAAGAGCAAGGCACAATGAAAGGCCTTTTCCACAGAGGCAAGCAGGTGAGCTTGACTGAGTCCTATCATCCTCCCACCTTCTTTTCTAAACTAAAAAGCCATCTAACGTTTTGGAGAAGAGTATTCAGCCCTTTCCTTTAAGCATTTGCTAGTGGTTTTAAATTCACCATTCAGGTTATCTCCCACCGTTGCTCATACCACTTCTTGTGCCTGCATGTGGTTTTGGTCATGCTCTATTTTTCCTGCAGATAGGTTGTGAATCTTCTTTCACTCTCCAGGGCTCACACAGGGAAGTGTGGGTCCAGTCCTGATCTGACACAGACCTGTGCTGTTTGAGGCTAACTACCTCAGTTTCCATTCTGCCAAATGAGGATAATAGGAACTGGTTGGAGGACAGAGAGCAGGTAAAAAAGGGTGAAACAGCCTTGGAGAAAGGTGTCTTTCTCCAGACACAGACATTCAGGGAGGAAAGCAAGTAAAAGGCATGGCTGGGACCATACATTCACCTTATGAGAGCCAAGGGGAAAAAGAATGGAAAATTCATATTTCTCCTGACATGCACATCTAAATCAAACAAGTATCTGAATGGACGTGGTTAATTTCAGACAGAAGATCTGACTTTTCCACTCACTAGAGAGATATCCAAGAAGGAAGTCACTAAAGATCACTCTAGACTACACAAAGTTACCCACCTGGGGGAGACGGAAACCTTCAGCTTTGCAAACATTAACTGGTGAGATTTTCACGTTGGTGCAAGGATTTTAATGTATTCTCATTTGGCAAGAATGGAATTGAGGGGAAAAGGGTCATGGAGTGCAAAGAAGGAACTGCTTTTCTCAATCATATCAAACAGCCCTTATTTAACACTCACTTTCTTCCACTTGTTTGGTTTTTTGTTTAGGTTTTCTTGTTTTTTTAAAAACATTTTTTCTAAACAACTGAAAATGAGTTGAAAAAGAAAACTCACCAGTATGGCAGATCTGGAGCTGCCTGCACCTGAGATCAGATGTAGCAAAGGAAGAGACATCTCATCTGGACAATGGGCTGTGAAGATCCAACTGCTCTAAGTGTTTATAGTCCCAGGCCCTGATCTCATTTTACACACAGAGGGAGAAGCCCTGGCCCCGTGTAGAGCTGTGGGTTGGCTCAGACTCTAGCTGGTTACTTTAAAGCTGATGGGACCATTCAAACTGCTCTCAACTCCAGTGTGTTGAGTTTTAGCTTTGACAGACAGATAAAACAGCAGGATGGAGGTGGGCAGGAGCACACAGACAGGAAGCTGTGTTTTACCACGGAACAAGGAAGGCCAGAACACAGACTCTGATTCCCACATCTGCTTTCTCACTTAGGATGCTCTTTGGCTCAGATCAATTATTAAAAAGTGGAAGACAATAATAAAAGTGGCTACCAAACAAATATGATCTGGAACTCTCTTTAAAATGAGGTGATGAGAAGGGAATAAATCACATTTACTAAGCAAGTGTAAGTTTTGCCAGCATCTTCTGCCTTCTGCATCAGTTCATCCTGAGTACATAGAGGGATTTCAACCTCCAGCTCCTGCACTGTTTTACACTGGAGCTGCAGCTTCCTCTAGAAATGTGGTACACATAACTCACTTTATAGCAAAGATAAGCTTGTTTCACTGCAGAGAAGTGGGGCTGTGCACCCTCAGCCAGCTTCTGTTTTAAGCCCCCCATGCACGCAGGCAGACACTGCATCTGTGGTACCCTGGCTACATATCCAAGCTACACTTGGCAATCATGTGGATTAGAAAAATGTGCGTTTTCTTCCCCCCAAATAAAACAATCTCTGCTAAGCCACATGCAGTGTGGGGATACCTGGGTGGAAGGTTCATGATCTTTATTGTGGCCATGCTGAGAGACCTGTCCTGAGTAAAACAATTGCCTGGATGTCTGCACTGGGCACTGTTGCATTTGGATCATAGCTGTTCACAGAGCCCTCTGACTTCCTGCGAAGTGATCATCTGTTTCTCAGTCTCCCTAGGGTGTGCAGGGAAAAAGAGGGAGTGGGAGCTCTGAAAACTCTGCTTTCTCTCCCTAGAAATTCCACAGTGAACAATCCAAGGCACCCTCCAGCCTCAAAGCCAGCAGTGGCCCCTGCTTCAATGACACAAAACCTGCTGATGGTGCTCTTAGGATGGCCCTGAATTACCCCATCACTTACCAACAAACAAATGTTCAGGTGCTTCCTTAGCTGAAAGCTGTAGGAGCAGCACTGCCCTGACATAACACTTGAGCCCATTCCCACCCTCTGTGTACCCATGTCTGAATCCATCCATGCTCCAAATTCCCAGATGGAGACCATTGAAAGAGTCTTGAGGCAGCCTCCTGCCACAGGTACACTGTGCAGTGGGAAGGCTTTGCCATCAGAAGGTGAATGACATTGCCCACACAATCAGGGAACGGGGCAGCCTGGAAGAGACCACTGTAGTCATCTGGTCCCACCTCCCTGCCCAAGTAGAATCATCCCAGAGCACAGGATTACATCCAGACAATTCCTAAATGTCTTCAGTAAGGGAGACTCCACACCATCTCTGGGCAACCTGTTCCAGTGCCCAGCCACTCACACAGTAAAGGAGTTCTTGCTCATGTTCAGGTGGAATTCCCTGTTCATCATTTTCTGCTCATTGCCTCTTGTCACATTTCTTGGCAGCACCAAGGAGAGCCACACAGGAGCTCAGCAAATTTCCATGAGGTGATGACATCTTGGGAGTGTGTGAGAAATCCTCTGCTCCTGGGACATTTCCCTCATGGAGTGCCGCTCTCAGGGGAGAAGAGCAATGAGAGCAAACAGCACACCTGGAGGATCCACTCTGTGGCTTGTGAGCACAGCACATGCCCAGGAGTGAGGCCACCATGCTGCTCAGCACCAGCAGCCATGCAAAAACCAACCCAGGACACCAGGCAAGGGCTGGGATCAAAGGAGCCATGACTAAACACCCTTCCTGACCTATTCCATTTCTTCAAGATGCAGGAAACTGATAACCAAAGCAAATAAATTCTTCCTGAGAACTAACTCTTTGAGTCACTTATGTATTTGTAGGCAACTGCCCAGTAAGGTCCAGACAAAATAATTTCTTCACAAAAAGTATAGGTAAAAGCATGTACAAAAACTGTGGAACAACAGGGAAAAAAATTCTAGAGAAAGAAACTTTTTAACTATTCTTCACCTTTGTGGGCAAGTTTTGGTTTTTTTCCCCACTACAACCAGTTTAGATTTTCTTTCTCAAGTTCATTTTGATGTAGTATTTTTTAAGTTTAATTTTATTCCTATTAAAAAAAAGGGGGTAGGAGGAAAAAAACCCTGCTTTTTTGTTGTTGTCTGTTTATTAAAAAATAATATTCCTAACAGAAGCATATTTTTATTCAAATTTGAAAGAAAAGAGAAAAATATTACAGGGGACTTCAGCTATTGAAACCCATGGGGAACAAATTTTGGTATGGAGTTTTAGAGATTTCACTATTGTAAACTTTGCTTCTTTTTTTGCTCAAGACATACGTCAATATTTGGGGTGAATAAATATTTCATTTTCCCTCTTCCTGGAACAAAATACTTCTTAAATTTCTGCCCCAGATCCATTCCTCATGGCCAGAACCCAAGCCTAAGAGGAGGCCACTCACAAGGGCCAGGCTGAGCTGGTCCCTCTCACTGGTTTCTCAGATGTCCTGCCTGGTGGCTTCAAGACACTAAGAGCAAATGCACAGGGTTAATAAA